AGAACGCACGCTAAGACTTAGAAATACGTAGGGTTTTTCAATGGAGTTATGCCAGATACCAAGAAGAACAAAAACGAAAGAACGCCACTTTTAAAATCAAAGTTTCTTTCTAAAACAAGGTAGATGTACGCCCCTGTAACAGAGCGCGAGATCAAACAAAAGCGATTAATTTAGACAGATTAGCCGATAAAACTGCGTTGTTATTCCCGGTGATTTCCGTTTTCTTGTTCCCCGCACTCTTCTGCATTTCAGCTTTACCGGAATGCTTCCTAGTACTACCTAACCGGAAGTGACCGCAAAACGGAGGCTTCGAACTGTTTTTTAACACGACAAGGCATCAGGGACCTCTATTGACATCTGTCTTATTGAAATTCGCTATGAATACAAACATGACTTTTATTTCTAATTCTTTCCGAAAAGTCGAATTTAGATCCCTTAAAAAGCAAAGCTTTAAGTGGGAGACAACTTTAACCTATCTAGCATGTTTCGATGAAAATTGGGAAAGGAGAACACTTACTACTTGATGCGGTGTTTTCTCCATATCACAGCAGCTCAGTAGGATCACAACACGATATCACAACACGGTACAAGTCACAGCGCGGAACGGAACGACACGACCCGACACGTCCTTCTACTCTGCGCGCTGGGCGACGACTGAGCTGCGACTGGAGCGCGCGGCCCCTCCCCCTGACCAGCTGGGCGGGGAGGGGAGGGGAGGGGAGTGGTGCGGCAGGAGGCCGACTGCAGCGCCTCCCGCTGCCGGGCGGCGGGAGGCGGAGACAGGCTCGCTGCTTGATTAGACTAGATTTACAATTAAGCCGTCTTTTCTTTCAAATGCATTGCTACTTTAACAATTTAACTTTATGATCAGAAACAGCACATTGCAGCGAATATTTGAGAACAAAATATAAAATAAAATTTATTTTAATTTCTTTGTCTTTACACATTTCTACGCTTACCCCCCCCTACCTCTCACGCCTCTTTCTGGGGAATTTGACCATTTCCGACTTCCAGCGTCACAAATTGTGAACTTCCGACGCCCACTATGCGTTTTGTTGCAGTGTTCTGACCCAAAACTTTAAATAAAATGGTTTTTACTTGACCAAACGATAACGAAACTGCAAATGTATTTGTTTTGTACTTTTCTGTCTAATTTATATTTTTTCTCATTTATTCGCCATTTTCCCACTCAGTGCCTTCTCGAAAAGATCGGAACGGCTCGGACGGTTGCATACGCCACCTATGCTGTGATCCTGGAAGCATCCCCTGACCACGTGCGAGCCCAGACGAACAGCCACCATGCACCTGCTCTCATCACACCCCCCGCACCTGTGATTTCAACATGTTCGACATGGCATACAGTTCAAGTCCAGAACACTGCACCGAGGTAAGTTTATCCGATTATTAACCGTGTTGGGCTGTAGTTAAAAACAAGGGACGGTAATGATAAAATCTAACATGGTTTAATATAGGCAACGAGCTCTGTGAGCAGTCCCCTCTCCCCTGACCGGGAAAAGAAGCCAACCATCTCATTAGATAATGATACTTTAGTTATATCGAGCGACGATGAAACTAAAGCCTCAACGGAACCAACATGGGGACACGTAAGTGTACAATTTAGTCAATATAATATATAAATCTGCTACGTTTTTCAATTAAAGCATTGAAGATAAATGGTCTCTCCGCTATTACAGGATTCAGGAATCGATTCCAGTGGGGACGATAAGCCACCTGCATCGAAATCCAGTCGATTTTACAGAAGAAAGATGTTTAATCCATTTTCCGACAAAGTTGATGAAGTAAGTTCCAGTATATTTTGAAGAAATCCTACTATTTTATGCATTTTGTACTAATTTGTTTTTTTTCGTTTACAGTGCCTTCTGAAGGACGAGCCGACAGCAGAAGACCTAGCCGATGCCCCCATCAAGAGGCCTCGCACCAGCTATGAACCTAGTCAACGAGAGACGAGAAAAGAGCACGTATGTACATTTATGCCTAGTTATCCATCTCTCTGACTGCTTATGTTTTCAGCGAATGTTTATCATTCTTGTGCTTTACTTCTGCAGAACGAAGACAAGCCGTTACAGGACAGGACATGGCCACAAGTTCCTGCGGAAACGCGTCGCAGCACACCAACCCAACTAGAGAAGGACGAGACACACGTAAGTTAATTTTTAACAAAACTGCACATTACAGTCTTTTATAGACTTTTTCATAAATAGTGGACATTTTTCAGAAAACGCAATGTTGTGCATTTTGTACACATCAAAGCCGTTGGCCTGCTAAATTGCGTCAGCACATAGAACGTTTTCATTCCGCGCAGTTAAAAGAGTTCGGAAAGCAGAAAATTGTAACTATTATGTTTTGGAAATCAAAGAGCAACGTTAGACGAATTTCTCATCATAAAGTGACCCAAATAGTAAATGATTGCCTTAAAATGCGGAAATCTATAAGTGCAAACGAGCTTTACGATGCGATTAAGATTGCCTACGAACACGTGCTCGTTAAAATAGCCGACGACGAACAGATAACAGGGTAACTAAAGTAGTTGATTTTAGTGTATTAAATATAATTTAGTTGCCTATAGCTTATTTTAAATGTTTTTGCTTGATTTAATTTCAGGAATCTCACTTCCGGTGTCCCCAGCTCCTCTGCCAGCATGTAGCATCCCGCCTCGCGAGTTTACGTAATCACGGAACGAAACTTCACGGAGTCACCGAGTCGCTGATGCCACATTTCGTACAGGAATCTATCAAACTGTCGAAGAGTGGTCAACGCCAAACTTCCATGGCGCGGGTCATGTCTCTGATGGGGGAGGCTGCAGCCTTCAGTAACCAACGGTCCATGGTACTACGCGTGCTCGACGGACATTCCATCACAGTGAAGGGTGAGTCCATGGCAGCTTCAACGCCTTCCGCCTACGTAAAGCCTATAAGAAGACGCTCATTGACCACTATGTCACTAGACAAGCACAATCTCTCTTCAAATGTAAACTTCGACGCACTATGCTGCAGTGCGAAGGAATACTATACCATGCACGTCGAACGAGGCGTACTTAAGGAAAGGACTGCATTGGCAAACGCGAAATTAATGCACAGATTCGTCGATTTCGGCAAGAATTTTCTATCTACTTTAAATGAACGAGATGTTTTG